GACGAGTTTGTATGGATGTGCAGTCTTAGATGGCCCTATCTCTTTGAGCCTTGAGATTTCAAGGACATGACTGCAAGATTTTGAGGGTGTTGTGCCACAAACATATTTGGATTGTATAACTAAGTAACAGAAACATACTTTGCTTTACTACACCTTGAACTTACCAGGTTTTCTGACGTTAGCCTGCTAACTTCAAGTCGAATACCATCATTTATGTCATTTTCCTCTCGGAATAATTTTTGTAGATGATTAATATCTTGGCTAAGATGCTCAACTTTAAAGTTCAAACCTTCAATCTCCTTTTCATATATTTCTTTCTGAGACTGGAAATGACTTTCCAATACTCTGTTAATAAAAGGGAGAAAGAACATGGCAGATGTAGTACGACCTTGATGCAATGGGTCAAATTTAATATAAAGTGAAAACAAAGTACTGTGGTTAACACGCAGACATTCCATTACATCACCTGTGCATTAAGGGAGTTTAAAGTTATGCATGATATCTCAGAGGAAACACATTTCCCTGACTGACACATACACACTTATCTCATTGACTTAGTAAAAGTTTGTTAAAGTGATTTTAAGCTGCTCAGCCAGTCATATAATATAGTGTTTGTTCATTTCTTAAACAGATGTTCAGTACTGCACCGTCAAATTAGTTACTCAATGATATTTCTGTTTATTTTCTAGATCACAGCTTGGAGTTATAAAAACACTGAATAACTGAACTAACCTTGTAGCTTTTTTCAAGCCCTCGTAAGCAAACCACAGTTCTCCATCCTCATTTAAGTGTTCCAAATCCTCCGTAGAGAGTCTAGAATATAAGGCAGTATCAATAGCGTGCAGGTGAGCAAAATGCATTTCTTAAGCTTTTTTAAAGAGACCTCAGAACAAAATTACCTGCTTCCTACATCTTCAAAATCATAACTTTCAAGAAGTTGTTTTGTAACTTCTGACATCTTTTCTGGAAAAAAACAAAGTTTATTACACAAATAATTTTCTCCACACATTTCAAATAAAGTTTGATTATAAAAATCAATCTTTCTAAATCTACAAGCTTCTTTCCTGGTACTCAGTAAATATATCTGATTTATTACAAGAATATGATGAGGGACTGGGTTCTACTTCTGAACACGTAAGGTGCACTAGATAGGTATACCTCCCAATATTTTTTTCTTTTTCTGAACACATCAAGCTCTCAATGCAAAGTTACATCTTTCTGTCCTGAATCTGGAGAATGGCTAGAGTTGTATAGATGATTTGTCATCTAGTGCTATGTTACTACATTAAATGCTGCAGATACAGGTGGGCTCTATGACATTGTTAGCACTGAACAAAGTGTACAACAGTAGTGTTTCTTATTAAGTACCTGTTCCCAAAGAGAACCCAACCCAGCAAGTTATTTAAGCATATTTGACATTTACTGGACCTAGGGCTAAAGGTAGGATGAGTGAAAGCTAGATAATATATTGTTTCTGTATTCCTGGGTCTCTACAAGCTACTTGTTAAATTCTAAGTGAAGTTTAAGTTATTAGTATTGATTTTTAACCACAAAGGAGAAATGTTTGAAATCAGAGTTTCTTCAAAGGGGTACCCCAGATCTTAGTATTCAGTGATCACTTTGTAAAACTCACCTGTTGCGGGTTTTTTTCCCCTTGCGAGTAAAGGTATGAATAGAATGAAATCACTATGGGATGGGGAAAGAGAAGTGGGTTTTTGTCAAAGCTAACATGGAAGAAATTGGTTTAAACTGGCCTGGTTCACACTGTACTTAGTAAGTTCTCTGAATTATCTAGTATGTAGCTTACCCCTCAATTCTCGCTTCTGAGACTGGGCCTGCTTTTCAACATCCAATTTTTGTGTCTGTAGCAGTTCAATTTCCTTTTGCAACTCAGGTATTTTCTAAATCAGACAAAAATTATAGACTAAGACAAGAAGTGAATGACAAAGGCTGAGTATTAGTTAAATCATAAAGATAATTATAATTAAGAACAAGTTCATATGGTAAAAGACAAAACATTTTGTGTTTAAAGCATCTGGTTCTCAGGCATCAGAGCAAAACAGTAATGCGATGTAGTGAAAACAAGTATGTTTGTGTCATGGAATTGATTCAGAGGAAAAAATGTGACTTTACACAAAAGTACTATTTTCAGGTTCAGTTTATAAACTACATTTATGAAAAAAACCCTGAGAAACAAATATTTTCTTGGAAGAAGGAAGAAAAATAGGTCCACACATTTACACGTATAAATATTCAGGCACAATTACTCTTCAAAACATGCACTTATTTCTGCAAACAATAACTTATTCGTATTGTGTACCACATGAAAGTAATGCAACATGGTCATGTATCAAATACAGCTTATTAGCTACAAATTCTAAAAATGCACTGGACATAAAAAAAAGGTGAAGGTAATCTATAAATAAAACACATTTTCTACTTGCTTTATCTAGCAAAGACTCCAAACTGAAATGCATCATACTTTACCTGTGCTTGTTTTGTAAGTTGCCCTACTTCCATTTTCAAGCCATCCTGAATGACAATTGCTTGCTGAATTTGATGCTGTAGCTGAGTTTTCTCTTCTTTCAGAATTTTAATTTCTCTCTTGAGCAATTCAATTTCCTTTTCATAGTCCTGCTTCTGATTTTGGAAATTTTTCTCAAGTATCCTAAACAAGACAATGAAAAGGTGGTTTTATTTTCCTACATTCATAAGTGAAAGAGTGGGCTTTGGTTTTGTTTTAATATGAAGGACATGTTTCATTGAATAAAACTTAAATGAACCATAATTACTTGAAAATGCTATCCTACATCCTCAGAATCAATCTGCAAAATGGATGATAATGGGACGAGAATGACCCTAGATTGCCCTACATCTAAATTAAATATTGGGACTGAATTAAAGGCAAAACTGAGTTTTTTCCACTGAAAGACTAATTCTATCACTTTCTGAGAGTTAGCCCACCTGATCAGCTTTCTGCTACATTTATGGCCACAGTCAGCACTGACGAAGGACATAGCAGCAGAAAGCACTCTTCACACTTCAGAGAACAGCATTTGTCTGGTACCTAAGGTTCTCTGTCTTATACTGGAGAAGAGCTACCGGGAAGTAAACACTTGATCTGATAAAAGCATGCTGCAAAGCAACAATCATTTATTGCCAAATAATAGGATTTTTAATAATGTAAATGAAATATCAAGGCGGGGGGGGAAGGTTTTCCCCTGTATTTTTAGCCTGATGTCCTTTACAAACACTGCCTTTCCTTCAAGCTGAATCTTTCGATTGTGTCTTTTAATATTCACTTCACAGGAATTCTGACTGGTATGGCCACCAGCTGCTCTTCCACCCTGATGTGAATTCTGAGGACATCTCCAAAGAAACCATTATGATCAGAATTGCCTTTCAATTCTCAGAAAGACACGTGAAAAGATGGGGAACTTCAAAAGCAAGAACCGTCTCAAGTCTACAATATCATTTCCTGAATGTGACTGATGCACAAACAAGCATGTGCTTTTCCTCAACTGTACATGAAGTATGCCGGTACTAGCATTAATGTCCAAGAACACAGACAGATTTGTAAGCGATGTGAGCATAATGCATTTACAGTGGGAGAAAGAAAGGCAGGGAAAGATAAAAAATGAATGTGATTTCAAGGCAATAAAATTCAGATTACATACATTCTCTGATTTTCTTCTTTTTGTACATCATTGAAGAGTTGCTTCGTTAGGTCATCCATTTTCTCTGTCAAAAAATATTTCAATATTTCAAAGACCTTCATGCAGTTATGTGCATTTATTAAAACAGTATGACCACAATGAGAAGTTTTGTTTTAATGAGCATTCCTTAACATATTAAGACTGAAATTACTCTTTCAAGTGCTAAAAATTATCACAGTAAATTTTACAAGTGATGTTATAGAATAAAAATGTTCTGAAACACCAAAATGTTATTCATCTAAAGTATACCTCATCTCATGTGCTGCCTGTGTCCTTTGAAATTAGATTAATAAAAGCAGTATATGAAAGGAACCAAGGATGAAGTGCCACTTTGAAGGAATGCATGTGTATGAGACAGAAAACATAATAGGAGGAGAGTTTTTCCTACTGAAAGAACAAATTTAATTTCATTATTAAATTAAAAGCATTTGCACTACACATTCTAAGCAAGAGAAGCTTAGGAACAACTTTTAATTTACTCTAAATTCAGCATTTATATTGCTTATTAGAACAGAAGTCATTATATTTATTGCTTATTAGAACAGAAGTCATCTACCATTGCTGAAAACCTGACTTTATAACTTTCCCCCACTATAACCCTTTCATAACTCCTTCGAAATTCCTTTTACTTATTGTACCTTTCATTTCCTCAGTTTTTTCTTGGAGTTTTATTTCTAAGATCTCTTTCTGTTCTTGTAATTCTTTATTCTGATCCTCAAGTTTTAAGATTTTCTGTACACACAGGAAGCAAGCATAATATACAAATTACAAAGGAGGAAGGAATAGGTCACGGAAGGTCTTACATTTTGACAAGCGTATACAGATTCCCCCCCTTCCCTGCCACCCCCCCGCCCCAAAAGAAAGTTACTTAGTAACTCTCGAATCATGCATTTGATAAATCCAGTAACTGAAAAAATTATTTAAACTAAATTAAAAGCACCCAGATTGCAATTAAGATTTACCTGTTCACTGTCTTCTTTGTATTTTTTCCCTTTCTCTTCATATGTTCTCTTTTGAGCAGTTAACTTTTCAAGATCTAATTCGAGTTTCTGAATTGTATCCACGTCATTCAGATGAGTTGAAACCAGACTGGTCAATCGTTCCAGCAAACCATGATTTTCTCTACTCTACAATGACCAAAAGAGGTTAAAAGAAAACAGAAAAATGCACACCTGAAACTTTAATAAAATTCTGAAGGAAGAACCTGACCTATTTCTGCTCACCATCACATATCAGTCATGATTATTTCAAACAAGGATTGTTTCCAACAGTTAGATTAAAGCTACCATCTTAAAGATGATTTGGCTGGTATGGCTCTCAAAAATAAGCTGGAAAATAAACATAATATGGAATTCCCCAAAGTTACTATGTTGCACCAGAGCAGTATTTCACATGTCCTTCATCCTAATACAAGTAACCCCATCCAGAGGTTGAACAGCCTGCTTAAGAAACAGTGAAAAAAAAAAAAAATGTTAATTACAGACTCTTCTCATTGGCATAACTAACCCAAAAATATAACAAAACCCTGGATGATTCCTCCTCCCCTGGATGTAGGAAAAACACTAGTGATTTATTATAAAGGACCATATCCCTTGAGTATTCTCCTGTCTTGTCAAGTACAGAAATTGTAATTCACATAAGACTCTGGTTAACATGGGAGCTCTGAATAAAACAGATACGATAAAAAAATTACTACAAATCATAAAATGACTGGTGCTCCTCACCTGTTCTTCTAGCTTTTTCTGCAGTCGCTGAACTCTGTATGAAAGCTGGATATTCAATACAAACCGCCGAATATTCTGAAATCTGCGCCTGGCAAGCCATGCACGAGCGTATTTCTGAAGGATCACAGCCTTGTGTTCTTCAAGCATCTTTAAAATAAAGTATTAACATCTGTCTGCAATTATCTGTGCCTCAATCAGCATCAATTATAACATTCTGTTAATCAGCATACACTGGTAATGACAATGCTTCTCATGGAAGTATTGAAACACTGAAATGCTCAGACTGGAGACACATTTGAATCACTGTAGTAATCACACTAGATTATCTGCAACAAGTACAATCCAGAGTTCTTGGTAGCTCAGAGATTAGATCTAAGCTACTGTGTATCAGTATTTTTATAGTAACAATATAGAGTAGAATATAGGAGAACCACACGTGCAAAAGGTAAAGCATTAGGGACCATTGCTCTGGTCTCCATCTTTCTTATAGAGCAATAGCTGTTTCCAGTTACTGAAATAAAATTTTTTACAGGCTGTACCTTCCGATATTTTTTTCTTGCTAGAAATCCTCTTGTATAAGCTTGAATTGTGACAGCAGCCACATGGATGAGCTGGCAAAGTCTACGGACCAGGTAACCCCGACAGTATTTCTGAATAATTATAGCTGCCCATGTTTGCTTCAGAGTTCTTGCAGTTATAGCTTGCCTTAATTCAAAAGACAATAACGTTTACTCAGGTCATGTTAGATTTCTCATCCTCAGTCAGCCAGACCTCTCTCTCTCTCTCTGACACACACACACAGAGATGATGTTGAAAACAGGCATCCACTCTCTAAAACCCAGCTTTTTCTTCAATCTAAGTGAAAGAGAGGGAGTTATCCACAATCTTTGAGATCTGTTCCACAAGCAAGTGTTCTGATGATCTCTTTCTGAAAATTTCAAAGCCTACATAGAGCCATCTTCCTTTCTTTTCCTTCTCTGGCTCTGAAGCTAAGCAGTAAGCCCAAGCTGACAACTGGGTCACCCGTCATTACCTAAGAACTGAGCTTACAGGTAGACAGACCTCTCAGGAATCTGGCAGACAATATTTGAAATCTGCTAGAGTACTTTCTTCATGTCAGCTGAAACACTTGAATGTTTTCAAGTCCATATTTACAATCAAGAGGAAATGGAAATACAATCTGAATTGCTCTTTTGTAAAAATTACACTTCCAAATTAATATGTGGCATTAGTTTGACCTTCTATATCCCTTCAGGCATGCGCTAACAGCAAATTCATTTATCAGCCAAAATTACCGTACAGTCCGTTGCCCCCGGAAATACTGCTGTATTGTAATAGCTGCTTGTTTTAAGCGAAGGAATTTCTTCTGCTGCAGCCAGCCTCGAACACGCTTTTGGATCACAATGCATGCGTGTCTCAGTTTATCTGATCGGAGTTTTTCTAAGTAAGCAACCTGTCCTGCTCTGAAGAAAATTTTTGTTCTCCCAAACTGATACTGGTTATGATCCTGAAAAAGAAAACAATAGGTATATTAAGTTTTTAGTTTATTATTGTAGACCAGACACTCTCTTCCTTATTAATAATTGATGCTGTAATACAGAATAGATCAGTGCATACAAACTGACCTGGATTAGCCGCTGCAAAACAGTCTTGCAAATCTGCTTCTTATCATTTATGGAGAGTTCCTGCTGTGTCATAAGAATGCTGTAACGGCTGAAAAACTCAAGGTAAGTCCACCTGGAAAATGAAAAGTTAGCAAATGCAATTCATTTAAGAGACACACAAGTATTTTTTGACATACAGACACCCACTGCTATCCCTACCTGGATGGGTAGCTCTGTGCACTAATCCGAATAGTTTCCAAAACACCACATGCTCGCAGTTGCTGAGTCACTCTTTTTGAGTCAAACCTAAAAAAGCAGAGTTATATTTTACATTTTGTCTGAGTTTGGCATGCTATAATAATTATGGTTCTGCTAGCTGGATATCTATTTCTGCCCGTAGGATGCAGGGCTCCCTACTTTTTATGTGGTGTCTTAATTGTTTTTTTTTAATATTGATAGGGAGTGCCTGAGTTTTCTTTTTCTGCCTCAAAACAAAAGGAAGATTGCATTTATTTTTCTCTTATGAAAAGTCCAGTTTCTTTTCAATATTAACTGTGAAAGCTCATATCACCAAGTGGCAAAGAATCATGCCACTCTCAGCACAAAACATGCACAGAAATAAATTCCCTCAGCAGTCTATTGGGAAATAACTCTCTCTAGGTACTCTTTGGCACACGGATTATGAATAAACCAGGATTTACTCATGGATATCTGGGTTCAAGATTATCAAACAAGGCATGGAAAGACCCTTTCCGATTCTAGATCAGAGCTGATATGCCCACAGAGCACTACGCTACACTGTTGGTCCAGTACTAGCTAAGAGATCCCTCTGGCTGACAGATGACTATATTGTTCTTTCACAGACTTACAGTAAGTTCTTTTAGTCTAATTCAGACATATTTTTATATTATCCAAGCTATTTCCCCCCTCATTGCTATTACACAAAATAATGAGGTCTCACTGCTGATAGTGAACAGTGCCACTTGTAGCATGCTTTGCTTGGACAGATTTTGTCTGGCTTCAAGGAAATGAGCTAATACACTTAAAATAATTTAGAATCAAAAGTTTGCCTCTTCCCTCCTACTCAGATGTGACAAAAGCTTTTATTTCATTTGTCATTACACTACCCACAGCTAAAACCTGTATAACTGAAACTAGATTCCACACATCAGCCCACAAACCAGACCAATAGCTGCATCAAGGTTAACTCCTGCTTACAATTACTGGTTATCACGCTAGACACAGAAATTATTCAACCTATCTGGCATATACGACTGTATTATAACATTAAAATAATACAAAATTGTGGGAAAAAGCCAACACTATGTTCAACACTGCTCATACCTTTTCTGACTTCTAAAGCTCCTCTAAATATTTCTGTGGATAAAAGGGAAGTTCACAAAGAAAATGGCAGTGTCTTTTATTCCTTAATCATGAACTGGTGCTAATCCATACTGTACAAGAGCAAACACGCCTAAACAAAATATCCATCAACTTATATCAAAGGTGGACAACCTTTCCCATAAGGATGTTATGACAAATACACAAACACTAATATCCGACTTGAAAATTTTTAGGTTAATAAAGAATTTTTAAGGTATCAATAACTATTACTGGATGATTCTATTTTTGTAAGAAGACAGTATTTTTTTACTTCAGCTGTCTTGAAAAATATGTTCTGTATGGGAAGTTGTTCAACAATAAGAATTTAGCTTGCTGACATGTAGCTACTGTGAAATAGAAAAATACTCTTTTAATTTTAAAGGTAATATAACAGCTCAACACCACTAGCATACTTACTCAAAAGGCAACTTCTCATCATTTGGCTTTATGCATCGTACATAATGAGGGGTGGTTGCATTCAGTGTCACCATAAGTAAAGACAAAGAACTCCGGAACTAGAAAATATCAGACATAACAGTTTTGCTAATGAAACATTCACAGTTAAGGAAGAAGTCAAATATTAGTTTTTTAATTCTTTGTTAGGTTTTGGCTGGACACTGGGAGATTTTCTTAGGGTTTAGATCTTAAACGCAGGAAATTTAACAGTTCTGCTGTACCTAACAGTCTCCTATCTATAAATTAAACACACCTACTTATACCCAGACCTGGAGCACTGCACTGTGGCTGGTTCTTGCTGTACTGAAAACTGGATAGTCCACCGTAAATAGTAGCAGAATACACCACCATAGCCTCAGACTGCCCAGTACACTTCCCTGGAAGTACGAGCATCACAGAATAGCACATTTACGCAGTACCTTACTGCCAACAGTCATCCGGAGTTGTTTGTTAGGTGACTTGAGAACAGGTCTTGCAGATTTGATGTTTATAGTTGAACTGAAAGGTGAAACGGACACTGGATTGTCTTGAAAAAAATTTGCACACAGATGAAACTAAAAGTGTGGTGAAAGAATCACAGTTAAATACTGTGTAACTAATAACATTTAAATAAAAATTATATTTAATATAACATAAAATGCAAACCCCATCCATCTTAATGCTTAGGCCAGGTATTGCAGGAGTTGGAACTGAATCTTTAAGCCACAAACAAACAACAACTGAAGAAACAGTTGCAACCACTCTGAGTCTGTTGTGAAGCACTTAACACATTTCACACACAAAACTCAACAACTGTTAAGTAGGCCTGCAAAAGCTATTTCAGTATGAGCAAACATGGACATAAACACAGAACAGAGTTAAAAATAAGACCACCTAAGGTTATATTTTCACAATATTTGATTTAAATTAAGAATATGTTTTTTGGTCAGATGAAGTTAGCTTCTTAATAGTAATCCTGAAGTCTCAAGGCTGTAGACTTCAAAGGGACAGGGCCTTCAAGCAGATGGGAAGTGGCAGGCACATAGAGGACATCTGATGTTTTCCCTGCCCTGGCATTCTCTTAATCTCTTTTGAAGAATAAACAAAAGCAGCTGCTAATGATAAACTACCTATCAAAGCTACATGTAACAACTATAGGAAAAAAAAAAACCCACAAACCCAAAACCCCTAATTGAATTGTTCAGTTTCAAGGATTCCAAAAAGCTCTTCAAGGGAGGTATATTAGTGCTTTTTGTTTTCGTAATAACTAGGAAAGTAATTGCACATATATGAAAAAGTTGAATATTGTGTTTTTCCATCTTGTATGTTATTTTGACATTAAAAATACATACTTGTAAAATATTAATAAACTAATTGATTTAACCTATTAAAAATCTTTTTATCAGAACAAAGCTTTTAAAATCACATCTGAATGAATTCCAGTAAAAGCAGGTATTCAGAAAATTAGTCATTACTGATTGTTCACAAACCTTGCTCTCTTTCAAGATTTCAGTCAATACTTCATGTACTGTATCTCTGTTTTTTTCCAGAAATCCTTCGCATTTATATTCTACCTGTGCAAACAGGTGAAATCATTAACTTTTCAGCAATGCATGAACAGTTAGCAAAACAATACGTTTTACTCTCTAAGCTGTGGTGGCCAACAGCTCTTTATTAGTCTTAAACACAATGGCCAAAACTGCTTTTTCCGGTTTTGTTATGGCAAGCATACATACATGCACACTGTAAATTCAGAAGCAGGACAAACTGTCAGAAACCACTATCAACTGCAATTTCCTTCTATCCTCATTAGGAATTTCTTTCCTCCTCTCTTCGTTATTCTACGAATTCAAATCAAAATACCCAAAAAGGAATACTACATTTGAAATGTAAATAACTGAGACTAAAACATGTACAGACTACAATCTTAACTATCTTATTTATACATTGACTCTTTTTCTGCTTCTTTATCTTGGTGATTTATTTTTATATTCTCAAATACATTATCTCAAGCAATTATGTTTAAATGGCATGTTATGGGCAGTATTACCAACGAATAAATAGTACTATGTATTGAAGATCGATTTTATAAGTAGTTCCAAACAAGCGTGGTTAATATTGCCTCTATTTCCTAAGTTTGTTTCTTTTCTGAATGAGCTACTGCTGGGAACAGGGTGAAATAATACTGGTTTGTTTACACTCTACCTTATCAGCAAAATGTTGAATGATGAAAGACCTGTTTGACATCCTTGGCTTTTCAAAGAGTGCATTTTTATTGACAAAATTATTATACAGCTTTTGAAGCCAGTTTTCATCTGTTCCATGAGGTAACTGTAAAAAGGAGAAGGGCAAACTCTTTAATAAAGCCCCGTTGGACTGTTAAAAACAGCAAAACTGCTTACTATCAATAAATACTGTCTGAATAAAGCATCTTCAGCGAGTTATGAAGACTGATAACCAGTTTTTGTCTTTTCAGACTAGCCAGTGGCTCCCTGTAGCAAATAATTTTAAGAAATCTACAAATTTGCTGACTAAAGTTAGTTCTCTGATGAGTCCTAAACAATTTTGTCCTGAGAGGATGCTACCTGCAATCAGGGACAATCTGATCCCTGAGAATGCCAATGAGCAGAATAACAGATAAGCTAATGAGTTAGGCAATATTCCCCAATTTCTCCCATATTACTCCATCATGGTTTGGATTCTGAGAAGTACAACTTGCCAATATTACCAAAACACCTTTTAGAGACCATTTTAACAGGGCTCTCACTTTTCCCTGCCCTGTTTTTCCCCGACAAAGCAATTTCAACAGGTTCAGAAGCTTAAAGGAATTACACATATGTAGAAGAAAAAAACAGAGATTCACGAATTGCACAGAGAAAAAAAATAGTAAGACTGAAGAAGAAAAAGCAAAGATGTAGGTTTGGTCATTCAACAAGAACTTACAAAAAAGGAAACAAAGACTGGGGCAGGGGGGGGGTTGTATCAAAATTAGTGATTCATGGAATAACTGAATTGTAGAAATATTGGTGGAAGAGACCCCTGAGGATTGGGTAGTCCAAATTCCTGCTCAGAGCAAGACTACCACGAACATTAGATCAAGCTGCCAGTTGAGCTCAAATCTGGAAACTATGCAACGATGGGGATCCCACCACACCTCTGTTTAACCTGCTCTAGTACCGCACTACCCTCACGGGAAAGACATCTAGTTGCTGGGTTACCTTCTAGGTAAGAATCTAGGTTTAGGTTCTTAATTTTTTAAGAGAAAAATAGACTGTGGCTTACAATTAAAACTAACAAACAGAGGGCAAACAATATTCCTTTTATGAGGAAAATGCTCTACTTCCCATTTCAAAGGACAAAATATGGATTACAAGCCCAACTTGTAAAAATCTATGTAGTTTTTCACAAGTTCATAAATACAAGGATCTTTAAATTACCAAGCACTCTTCATCCAGAAGGTCTAAAATTCCCATTTTAGCTTCAATAAGGTCAATGACAGTCTGGTTGTCATAGAAGTCTATTAAAGTCCATGGGATATCTTCCTTCATATATTCTTCTTGTTCAAGTTTAAAGACATGCTAGATATGTGAAAATTATTAAAATGTAAGGTTACAATTAAGGAAGAAAATATATATGATGTATGCATGTGTGTGATTGTATATATAAGACAGAAACAAAATATTTATATATTTTGTAGTATACGTCTGTTTTGTAAGAAAATAAACTCAAAAATTTTCATTTATATATGTGTGTGCATGCATGTAAAAATAAAATATTTTTATCTATTACTGGATATCCGTTATCCAGAAATATCCATTAGTCAAATACAAACAGCGTTTGCTAATATCCATTATTGATAATCTGAAAATGGAAGCAAAATAAGATGAAGAACTGTAACAAATAAAAGAACATACCAGGTTAAATTGCTGCTGCAGTTTTTCATTAGCATAATTGATGCAAAATTGTTCAAAACTGTTCACATCAAATGTTTCAAAGCTGAAACACATGTCAAATAAGAAAAAAAAAAGTCCCCTGACATTTAAATACAAAATGATAGTATTTTTGTAAGACTTTGGAGCTACCCTAATATTCCTAAGAAAATTAAATAGCTATAAGACTAATGAAGATGCTAAGGCATTTCAAAACTACCCTAGAAGTTAATGTAACAGAGCTAAAAAATACAGAGTTAAATCTAAAATTTAAATCTCATTTACAATAAATACTCATATTTATGGTTGCTGAACATTTCCACTACTCTGGATGCTAAAGAACTTATATGATTATGACCTTTTAGTAAAAGAAACCCCTCCAAATTCATTAGCAGCACAAATTGAAAAGTGCCTCTTATCAACTCCAAAGAAAAGGCATAACTTAAAGTAATTGGTTTCCTGAGATGTTCTTACCCATAAATGTCCAAAACACCAATAAAAGTATGTTGTTTGCCAAGGAACTGCAAAGCTTGGTTAATTCTTTCCACAATAAAGTCAAACAAATGAGAATAGATCTTCTTTGCCAGAGCATCCCTTGCATTAACAGCCTGAGCTCTTGTCATTGGCTTTATTACAGTCTCTGAGGTAGTGATAATCTTTCGGTGGCACAACCATTGTGCCATTTTGTCACAGTTTAAATCCAGAAGTTCACAGAATATATTGAGATGTTTATCTTCCAGCTTTAAAGAAGACAAATAAATATTATTATATTACATTTAATACTTTAACTGTTGTCTAGACAGTGAAATCCTGCCACCACTAACATCAATCTATGACTTTTATTTTTACATAAAGAAGGGGCTCTGTTCACTTCTTCGTCTGGCAAATTATCAAGCAGAGCTAAAGAAAATAATACTGGACAGAGCTCCTGGTACAGGAGAGAGAAACTTAGACTGGGTGAGATGCTTTGGATTAAGATGCTGAAAGAAAAAGTGACTTGAGTCTATGTTTAGGTGTTCTTGCTTTTTAGATTTGCGGGAGTCTGCTGGGACACATTCTGAGCAGCTCTGACAATGCTCTGTTTCATGTACCCTGCAGATAGCCCCAAATGGCTTTTCCAACAGCTGTGGGTCAGTTGGATATGGGGTTCTCTTAGCCACACTTTGTCTTTTGTTCAGACTTTCTGAACTCAGGCACAAACCAGGATTCACATAAACACTCTCTGTGATTCTACACAGATGAAGAGGGAGAAATCTCTCAGGTTTAGTATAGCAGACTGAATGCTGCTCTGAGCCCCAGATACAAGAAAAACTATTGCTAAAGGATTTTTGGCACAGAATATAAAAGAAAATGTCGGTATCTGAATGAGCTGCTTCCTTACACTGATAGATGATCTTTCATCTCCAACAGCTTTTATTTCCACGTTGCCTAAGTGTAGGATTGCTGCCAGCATTTTAAAAACATCCATCTGAAAATCCCCCTTCAGGCCTAAAAAAAAGCAATTCTTCATTATTTTAAATACTCAGAAACAGTACAATTAATTAAAATAGCACAATGCTGGATTACTTGCTTTGCTGCGCAGCCAAGAATTGTATAGCATCTCTACAGACTACTATGCAAACCCTCGGTTCTGCCTACTTTCTGCCTGTCTGATCCAATGAGAGATTAGGCATAAATTCCTGTACCTCCCCAAATGCCAGCTCAAGTCTGATTTGGCTTTCACATAAGCCATATATGGGCAAAGAAGCTTCCAATTCCACTTCTGTCACAGCATGTTAGATAAGGGCCAAGAAGACTCCAGCCCTTAGTGATTTTGACCATTAACAATCAACTCCAATTGTTAACAGCTATTTGCTCTGGCCTCGTACTTTTAAAACAGACGAACAGTGCAATGGATAAGCTATGAAAGAAATTATTTTGGTAAATACTACTAAAGTTTTGGACATTTCAGAAACAATCCACCTTTGCCCATTTCAGGAGAAAAAACCCCAAACCCTCAAGTTTTAAATCTATTGGAAAGGTATCCCCAAGAATTTACCCAGTAAGGCAAACGTCTTCTGAGTCTCCACCATATTTGCTCTGTCATCAACTCCTTCTATTACTGTGCTGCCGCCCATTCTTGTGTAGTTAAATTCTTCTGCACTTCCTATAGATTAAGAAGCAAAACTTGTAATGCTGGCAAATTCGGGACTTGGGATAGCCACTTGTTACAAACTCTTGTAACAAGAGAAAATTAAGAGTGCTGTCAGATGACAGCTCTTCAGCAATGAACTGAAGGCCCTCTTTTTCCAAGAGAAATCCACGTGCTTAACTCAGTTAAACTGACACAAATTAGCATTCATAATTCCTAGCAATCTTAATACTTGTTCTAACTAACAAACAAACAGGATTGAAGACTGAGTAAACATACACCTACGGTCTTCTTCCCCCAGGTGGCATTAAAGCTCCCATGTAGATAAAAGAACCAAGCCCCTAATCTGTCATTATGGCATCTGTCACTAAAGAAAGTATTAGAATAAGATTTTCAAAGACACTTATTGCACTATTCAAGTTACTAGGGATTTGCTACCAAGTTCAATACAAGCAGGATTAATAGCTAAGCAACTTAAAAATGCAAGTCCCATTGTAAGTCTGTGAGATTTACGCTATAAATCACTTAACTTCCTAGCATTTGAAAATCCAATCTTCAAAATACTGCACTGCAAAAATGAATAGTAGGTTATTTTCTTCACACCTACCCAATTTAAGATGCTTAAATTCAGGTTGCATAGCAGATGCACACAACTGATAGAATATATGGTAGTTTCTCTCATTCTCCGACTGTAAATTAAAGCAAAGAATACCATTACAGAAAAAAACCCCAAACGAAACAACAAACACAAAAACATTCAAAATTCAATATTCAGTACTATTGTAAAGAGATAATTATACTTGAAGGCTAAATTCTGCTGCAAGCTAGTTTGGCAAAGAAATTGCCCAGTATTAAAATGGCACTTCTTAGACTTCAAGAGCTTTGAAAGGTTTTCCCCAAGGCTGTTACTCTAATAATTTCTTCAGCCTGAACAACTATCTACTAATAAGAACTGACAAATACTGTAATGAACAACTGTGTAGGAGCACCAGCTGAAATGTTGCCCCGTGGTAACTCAGAAAACTAACTATTTCCAAACCATCACTCAAGCAGCAGATATATAGAAGTATTTTTCATAGTACTTAAAAAGTTATAATAGTACTAAAAAGCAAAACTTCATACAAACGGTTTTATAAAATTAAATGCTTTCTTTAGCAGATTATCACAATTATGCTCTGACACTGTCATGAGTCACATGCAATAAGCCCTGACCGATTTTCAGCCATTTTTTTACTGAGACTCCCTCTGCCCTATATATGCTGTTCCTTTCCAGATACAATTGGCACGCATTACTATTGTGACTGCAAGTCAGATTTCTCAAATACTTCTTGCACTTACCTCAGGGAATTGTCCCTGAAATACATCCTCCACTTAACATAGGGAAGAACGTGGAATAAATGAGTTTCTTCTTACAAAAAAGATTAGTTCCAATTAAAAAATAAATCAAATGCTGATTGGACATACTATTCAGAACTTCATATAACATTTTCTATATGAAACTAGTAAAGGACAGTACATTAGTACTGACGTTGTACATTAGCACACTCTGACATTGACTGGTTTTAACCTTATTTTACCCACCTGAAAGACAACCCTGGATTTCTCAAGCAGGTATGTTCTCATGTTAGCTCCAATGATTTGGTAACTCTGATCAAAACTGATTTCAGTGTATTTTCCAAATCGGCTGCTATTATCATTCCGTGTGGTTTTCGCATTGCCAACAGCCTATGAAAATTATAAACTTTAAATATTCATTTTACTAGCATCTTTCATAAGATTATCTTTCTCAAAACATGACTCAACTACAAGTTCCTGAAATCTCAGGTGCTCAAGGATCAACCTCAGCACTGAGCTGCAAGATTTAAATTTTGAGGCCCACATTTCAAAATAAGCCTCAAGTCAAATAGTCAAACACTACATAAAGTGAGAAATAGAGACTATATTTTCCCACCCATAAGGAACCGTAACCATTTTCTACTGTAATTAATAAAAACAAACAACTTGTTCAATATTGTTTCTCCATCATCTAATTAACAGGATGCTGTCAGATAAAACTCTAGAGGCAAACTACTGCCTCCAAAGGGCCACTGGTAAATTAGGCAGAACCCAGGTGTTCCTGAAGCTGGCTGCCTCTTCCCATCAGTAACAGTCAGAGGCTAAACTTCTAATTCAGATATCGAACTCAGGCACTAAAACATCCACAAAGATGCTCAGAAGCTGTCACGATTCTTTCCTTGGCGAGTACGGACTTGACAGATACTCTCTGAAACTTACCTCGGTTATTGGATTGGATGCCAGTACTTTATCCTCCACGTGTGCATTGCTGCTTGACTTACTCACAGTGGCAAAGTATCTCATAGTGTATCTTGCAGACACAGTCTTTCCAGCCCCTGATTCTCCGCTGACTATAATAGACTGATTTTTGTTATTTCTAAAACCAAATAAACAGACAGTTTAAATCAGACATGCCTAAAATGCATGTATAAATGTAAAAATCATATATATGAAACAAACGTATGAAAACACAACTGTGGTCAAGTCTCACATCAGTTCCATTTTTCATTTGGTTGTAACCTCTAGGCTGATGTCACTGCTATTCACTCACCTAAGACAGTGGTTTGCCCCTCATCAAGAATGAGAATAGTTACGAGTTCTAGAAATTCCTCAGCTGGTTAAGGAATTACTCCTCTAGTTAAGAGTTACCATTCAAAGGTATTCTTAATAGCCAGTGGCACATACAGAGTTAAACTAACTTACAAGGAACACTGACTACCACTAGAATTCAAGTGTTATTTATGGACATTAAACAATATACTGAACCTTGCCATTTGCTTGTATGCTTCTTCTGCCACAGCAAATATATGTGGATCCATGTCCCCCATGTTTTGCCCACTATACGCATGGATAATAGCATCTCCATATATTGGCAACTGTTTATAGGGGTTTATTGCTACCAAAATTATTCCTACAACCAAGTGTACAAAACAAAAATAAAACATAGGTTAGTTCAATGAAAACTGGCAACAACAGTTAAACTGATACAAAGTTGCAATATTTGCTAAACTAGGTAGGCGATCCTGATCAACAAACAAGTCTATACTCATTCAAAAACCTGAATGAGTTAAAACACACTCGAGGAAAACATTACTCACATCATATTGCAAACTGATCCACAATTTTATTTTTTTTTTAAAGATTTTTTTAAACCTTGCATTTGACTTTGCTTACCACTATAGGTGTAGATAAGCTTAGACTCTACAAAACGAACTTTAAGATTGTGTAGGACAGCTGGTTCATGGAGATAACTAAGTGCGGTGAGATCATTTTCACCAACAAGTATATCAGGATTTCGTAGGGGCGGCAAAGCAGCTGGATCAACGGGGTATTTCAGTTCCTGTCAACAAAAATTACTTGAAATATCATAAAATGCATTATGTTTGCATAAACACAAATTGATGTTCTACCTCTACACAAAGTTACAGGGTTGATGGAGCCCTGTCTGATCTTGTATTTCATCAATTCCATACATCTGACTGAACTTAAGGGACTTGGAGATCATGAAAGTAAGATGGGGCCCTTCATTATTTAAAAGAAAGCCACATTCTCTTTATTTACAATATTTTGTTTTGAAATCTGTAAAAATGATGAATGTGTTTAGCTCTCTAAATACATGCATATTTCAAGTACAGATGCAAACGTTAGACCAGCTGCAACTGAATGGAAGCAAACACCTGGTCAGAACTTAACACAGCAATAGAACTATCCCTAACTGCAACCCTTCAGTTTCCTTTACACAAAATTTAAAACTCACTTCTGTTTCTTTCAACAGGTCCATTTAATACTTGTCTTTACAGAACAGAAATGCAGAAATATTTTTTTCAAAATATTAAATTTGTCAAGAACTCGGATACTAAAATTAACCAATCTTACACAAAGCAACAACTTGAGGGGAAAAAAAGCAACAGCTAGCTCTGTGAGAGAGAATCATGCCTGTCTTACACTTCTGATTTACTTCAACTTAAGATGAGTTTCAGTGCTTGTTTCAAAAGTGAAGTGATCTTTTTCCTTCGAGGTATGTGTTCTACACTAACGCGATACAGATAGCAGACCTGCACTCTTCATATTTTTAGGTTCACTGTACAAATTTCAGTATGATAAAGTTCTGGTCACTGCAGGGTTAGCATAAAATATGGACAAGTCATGTAGATCCTGTAATGGCGAGTCCTAGGTTTCTACATAAACTATCTCAGCAAACCCCACAATAATGAAGGCTTTTCTCCTTACAGTTCCATCTTCTAATTGCACATGGAGAAAACGGTCTCCAGCTTTGTAGTTTTTTGTGATTTCTGCAGACTGCCAAACTTCTTCAGTATCTGGGATCCAAACCCTATTGTACTACAACAGAAAAACAAGACAATAGTTAGCTTTGCTATTATCATAATTCCAGACTAGCATAAAAAGATAGTTTTCAAATGTCAATTGCAACCTAAAAGCTGAACTGGATGCCAGGACTTTTTTTGATTATTATTATTATTAGGTCTGACCCTTTCAGTGGGCTGTATTTTTGTGTTTTAGTTATTCTTCATGAAAGGGGAGAAGAAAGAAAAAAAAAAAAAAAAAAAGAACAGACTCATTAGTCTTAGACATGCTTGTTCTACTCCTGCTTAGCGTAAAGTCTACAGAACAGCAGAGTACAGGACTCTGAACAAGGGCCAGACTGTTGCCAGGCTCTTCAAACCTTCTAACACTGAACAAGAAGAATAAAATACACTTAAGGCAGAGCCCTGATTTCTAGATTTCAAATGAGCAAGTACCAAAGAAAGCATCTCACTCAGCAGAATTTAGACAATCACTTCCCTGATTCAAATATAGGATACTGAATTTAGAAGGCATTTTGCCATGGGCACAGATGTATGCTGAAGTTAAAATGCCAAAGCATTAGCAACATTTTTAAATGCGCTGCCCTAAAAGCTATAGGAAACAGCATTGCTTAAAGGGACATCATACAGCTGGCAACCTCAGTAAGTCAGGAATTTCTTCACTGATGTGCCAGGGTTTAACACAGTGGCATCATCCCTAAAAGCTGCCCTAATGCATCAACTACGCATTAATAGATACTGGGTTTAGTAACATTGACATAACTTCTGACACGTCACCATCTTCCTTAAACCTTGCTGCAAAATATTTTTTATACCATATAGTGTGTATCTCAGATGGCAATGCAGGTAACACCGAAGACTGTGTTTGGATGTAAGGAGAGGACAGGAGGAAGGACAGCAATGTCAGAAAAAAAGCCTGAAAATCACCTGTACATGCTAGTACTGAGTTTCTTATGGGCCATCTCTCCTCTAATTTGTGATTAAGTAACAGTAGAGAGCACAGAACCATTCAGTCCCTATTTGCAGAAGCAACCATGCCATACAATCTTCTTCCAGCGTCTTTCTGGTTTGATTGCCAGAACCCTTCATTTAATTCCCCTATCTTAGCTATATTCATGGTCAAACCAACTGTGTTTATTTAAACCCGTGAGAACTGCTGCAGCTGCTTATTTCAAAAAATTAACATTAATCAAGGATTTAATGAAGCGTTAGCATACCCACAGATACCCCGGAGACTCCTATACCTTCTCACTTCGCTGTTGCAACTGTTGGTTTTGGCACAAATTACTTTTTTTCCTCTCTAATTTGGAGGAAGCCCTGGAAGCTCCAGCAGATCCTCAGAACATGAAGGCCTCCACCCCGAGAACCCCACTGAACACACCACCAGCGGTGGGTGCCTGCAGAGATCCCTACAAACTACAGTAGGTTTCTCAACTCTAACCCCTGAGGATCAACACCAAACGATTTAGGGCAAGTTAGCTTGGGTTGCTCCGTGACCGCTCCAGTTGAGTTTTCAGTATCTCTTAAGGGTGGAGATTGACCTTTCTGGCCAACCATATGCCAACCCGGTGTGTATATCAAATGATGAACACTAACCAAAACCTCAGCCACTTTTATGACACCTCTTTGCTGATGCCTTCAGCATGATGGATTTTTTTTCCACACAATATCTAAAATCACAAAGACCTTTTCTAAACAACCCCAAACCACTACAATGACAATGTTTTCTTCTATCTGACCAAAGGAAGAAAAACATAAATATCTACTTAATGGGCAAATGAAAGACATGGCTAAATGAAATCAGTTTTAACTTCACTTTTTCCATGTGTATCTAAGTATAAACTGACTTGTGTGTCACTCCTACACTAGGCTGATTTCCTGGCTTATAAAACATACTTATCTATTCACAGCTGTTAACTGAATCCTTTATTTGCTGTTTTTCCATGTGAGTTAAGAATATCACCACCAAACAGCCTCAGGGGCACGCAGAACATTCCCACATAAGAAAGTGAACTGTGTGCTAGGTCACGGACCAGAAAGGGAGGGAAAAGCATGTGATCGAAGTACTGATTCTTCAGAAAAGGTCCCTGCAGTTCCAGGAGCCTCCATTGGCAAACGCACCCAGCCTACCAAAGCTGGCTTTCTCCAAACCCTGCCTTACAAGTAAACAGAAGAGAGTTTGCTCATTTTCGTGTCAAGTTACACCCACGCTCCTTCCTCCCCTTCACCTGCCTGACATTATTCCTGATTAAAAAAAACCCCATTTGTTCTTTCAGCTGCTCAGCGTCTGGTACTAACACAACAAATGAATAAATACCAGCACAGCACAAGGCGAATTAGGAGTTTATTATGACAGCTGCTTTTGCGATAGAAGAGACACAGGCTTATAAATTAGTAACATACACACGTTATTTCTGTTATTTAAAGCTAAGCAAACAAGTTATACATCACAACAACCTCCCACTGCGGGAGAAGTGGGGAAAAAACCGTGCAAAAGATACAGCAGCCGCATCAAGGAGGCAGAATCGTTGTTTCATGCCAAGCTCTGCCAAACATATTCAATATTTGCATAGCAAAACCAGCGAGAACTCCACGATTAAGTGGCCAGGGAAGTGCTGTTAAACTTTAAAATTGCCTAACCGCTGGCCCAGCACATCGGAGACCAAAACCTAAAGACCAGAAGTCTCAAAGAAGAAGTATTTCTCTCAGAAAGAGGAAGTATTTTCCCTTGCTGCCCTGGGATTTTACAGCCGCTCGGTGGTGCTGTGGCTCAGCT